CCGTGCAGCCTGCCCTAGCGAGGCGAATGGGACCAATGCCGAGGCGACTGATTCTAAAGAGGGAAGGCTGCCAGAGGAGGATGCGGCGGAGAAAGAACGCCAAGATCGATTGGGCAGCAACTTGCGCCTCACCATCACTCGAGGTAACCAAGCCATGTGGGCCAAGCTGAAAGACCGACTGTGGGACTTTCGACAGCGGGCTGAGGGGATCAGTGAAGGTTCGTGGGAGGTCTTATCGTAGGAACAGTGCAGCAACTTGTTATACCACTATATCCCATCATTTGTGTTTATACAACCAGAATTCGACACTTTGATGAGGAAAGACTCTATGCCAAGAGCCTCGTGTTTCGACACCAGTTGGGTCGCGCTTGATCAGCTGCTTGAGACCCACCTCCATCCATGGCTGCAAGTCGGCAATTGATATGGATGGGATCCTAGTGGAGAGCACACTGCAGCGGCCCTCGCGGCTTTTGAATTGATATGCTTTTAAGTATGATTTGTCCCACTTTGTCACAGAGTTGCATGCGGGCCAAATTAAGTTGCGCCGGCACTTCTTGTTAAAGACAGAACGTTCATTCCTCGTCCTCACTTGCTCAGGGTCATTGCCTTGCGTTACAATATGATCGATGCCCTTTGAGCTACGGTCAAAGGTACATATCTAGAAGGCAGCGCAATCAGATAGACGGCGAAAGAGGGAAGAACGCGGAAAAGGCCAGGTGACTCGCAGTGTCTGAATTTGGCCCTCGTATATTATTATTCTTTATTTTTTATTTTTGGGCAAGTACAGTAGTCAGGCACAGAGGACACGCAAAGTCACAATTCGTCCTGTCGTTTGGGCCCGTCTCCGCATCCCGAGAAAAAAAAAAGCTTGTGTTGGCGAGCAGCGGCATATCTGCCAGCCACGTTATCATTATCATCATTTCTCTCTCAACACCAACCCTCAATGCTCGAGTGTGCAGGCTACGGCTCTCCCATCAGCTAGCCACCGTGCGTCAGCGGGAGTTGCGTCGCTTGCTCCTCAGCAGCAGCAGCAGCAGCAACAACAACTCGTCATCTCTTTCTTACTTTGCTCAGCTAAACACAAGACAGCACAGCACAGCACAGCACGTCGTATCTCCCATTCGTAGTCGCACTGACGACTGGACTACTTGGCCCTGCTTTTTCAATACCAGATCGTCGATCGGCCCATCGAGCTCTTTATACCTCAGTCTCTAGATCAAAGACCAAGCCGCTGAGGCTACACCGTCGCCCACCATGCAGCAGCCCATCCAGCATATCCCAATCAACCTGGGTCAAGCATCCGGTGGCATGGATTCGTCGGTGCATCAGGGAGCACATTCGAGCAGTGCCCTCTTCCCAAATGGTCTTCCTCATTCTTCAATGCCGAGTGACCCGCTCACCTCTGCGCTCAGTCTACTTCCACCTGAGCTCTTACAGTCGCACCCGCATCAGCACATCCATCAGTCCTTTGGTCAGCTCGCTTCTTCCCAAGCAGGAGGTTCTGCTTCGTTGCTCTCGCACGTTCATAACCAGCTGCAGCCAGGCAATCCGACGATGCTCGCACAGCAGGGTCGTGGTCCACAGGGCCTGCCACAACCGCAGCAATCGCAGCTGCCGGACAATCAGCAGCAACCTCGTCAGCGCCCTCAACAGCGGCGTCAGCTTTCGCAAGGGCAAAAGCAGCAACAGCAGCAACAGCAGCAACAGCCACAACAGCAGCAGCAGCAACCTCATTCCACTCAACAAGGTCAGCAGCAGCCACCACCATTACGAACACAGCCCAACATCCATCTCAACCACAACCAGCACCCTCCCACTTCGCAGCCGCAACAGCCGCCAAATCTCGCACAACTGCTAGGCTCCAACCCCGCCGCGATCGGAGCTCAGCCTTCTCTCCTGCAGCAGCACGCATCCGTCCTATCCGAAGCCCGTTCCTCGGTTTCCAACTTCTCTCAATCTTTGCAAGAAGCCAAGCAAGCTACGCCATCCGATCGTGGCGACATCCGAAGCGTCGTATCCCTTCTCGAGCGCGCATCCAAAGCTTTCGCCGCGGAACTCGAACAAGGCGTTTCCAAGCTCCGATCTCTGTCCAACTCGCCTGCATTCAACAATGTTGCCGGGCTCTTCAACGGAGCAGGTTTTGGCCAAGGCTCGAATACGGCAGGGCACGATCTGTTTGGGGCGCTTAATGGATTTGGCATGCCTGGCTCGGCTATGCAGCAGCAGCAGCAGCAGCAACCGCAGCATAACGCTGGAGGGATGCCTTTTGATCTCGGCCTTGCGTTCCCGCAGCCTCCTCATCCGAATGGTATGTTCAATCTGAACGGCGCGGGCAATGCGGGTGGTCCTGGTGGACCTGGCAGTTTCAACGGTGCCTTCCCCACCGACGTTGGAACGCAAGCAAACGGGCAGCAGGGTGTCAACGCTCAAAACTCGCCCTTGCTGTCTGCACTGCTAGCGCAGTATCTGTCCCAGTCCGGTGATCCGTCGAGCCGCATGGGCGCGCTCTCGCTCTTCCAGTCGCTTGCCAATGGAAGCGGCAACGGGCCGACTCCCAACTCCGCACAAGGTCTCGAAGCACTCCTGAATCAAGGCCTGCCACCACATCAGCAACAAGACCAACAGCAACAGCAGCAATCTCGAGTAGGGATGCCTGGCATGAACAGTGGCCGGATCAACAACAATCAGGAGGCTACTTCTGTTGCACAGCTTGCCAACGGCGCTCCTCTCACCAACGCTGCAGCGCTTGCGGCTTTGACCTCGCTCGGTATCACTCCTACGATGCTCGAAGCGCTCGGACTGGGGTCTGTCGCACAACAGATGCTCGACGCACCCGCAGAGGGCGGCAACAAGCAAGAAGGCTCCAGCAAGCTTCCTGTCCAGATGCGCGCGTCTCCTGGTTTTCGCGATGAGAGTCCAGAAGCAGATCACAACGATCCCTCCTCCGAGCCTGCGCGCAAGAAGAGAAAGCAGGGACGCGCAAAAGCGATCAGTGCCTCACCTCACGTCACCACGGATGCGAGCTCCTCGAAGCAGCCATCTCAGTCTGCCGATGCAAAGAACGTCTCTGCTACCCGTGCCGGGCATCCTGTCGCGATCCACAGCGCACCTCCGAAACCATCCCCTTCCATTCCACCTGTTTCCAACCCCAACATTGCTGGCTCGTCGGACGCATCTAAACGCATCCCCACCCTCGGCGTCGGTCTGCGTCAAGAAGGAGACAAACGCTATCGCAACCGCAAGCTGCTTCGCGATCTTCGAGAGCATCTCTATCGCTGGCTGGGCACGGATGAATTTCGCAAACTCCGCAATACCTACAAGGTGGCTGAGTGGGTACCCAATCCTCATCTGACCGAAGAGGAGAAGCAGATCCTTGCCTCCCTCCCACCCGGAGCGGTGGCCCAACCGCCGATCACCACGCACATCTTCCACGTTGATTTCACGAGCCGCGACTTTTACCGCACCAACCAATCGCTCATTGATGCGATTGTTACCGAGGGGTCCAAGAAGGTTGAAGCCAAGCCTGAGGCGTATGCCATTGTGCCTGGAACAATCGATCGGGATCACTTGGAAGATGTAGCCAAGGATTTGATGGATTCTGCTCGGTCTGGGTTCCGTATGTCGCTCCGAACGGGACTGCAAGCGGAGAAGGAGGATAAGGAAAAGCACGAAAAGTACCGCGGAGTAGAACGAGCCAAGACCAAGTGTAGAAATCGTGAGATCGGGGCGGGTCGCTTAAGGCATGCCATCCCGAAACAGCTGCTGATCCCGGGAGCCTACTCGGACGACGCTGCGAGCGATGAAGATCTTCACGGCCTGACCAAATCAGAGTGGAAGCGACAGCGGTTGCGCAAACTGCGCATCGCCAAAGGGTGGGAAGCTGTTACCCCGAAATGGAGGAATAAGCATCTGACGAGGGCATATCACAAGGCGGACATTGTGAGTAAGAGCAAGCAGATGGCTCGATGGCGACGGGATGATCCTGTGGATCTACCGATTCCGATCAAGCTGTACGGCAAGATGCTGCCCAAGCAGCTCTTCGATCCCGACTGGCTAGCTGAGCATCGGAAGGAGTTGGAGGATGAACCATACTGCATTCGAATCAACGATAATGACATCGATGGGTGGGACGAGGGTCATCATCCCCTGGGAGAGGACACGAGCGACGAGATGGAATGGAGTGATGCCAAGGAGAGTCATCATAACAGGGGAAGACAGTTGATGAGTAGTGCTCCGTCCAGTAGCAGAGAGCGGGGGTCGACGACGCAATCCCCTGTCCCAAGTGGGAGTGGCTCTGCAAGTTTGAAAGCCGTCGATTTGGAGGGCAAGAATGGTTCAGCTACACCCATCCCTACATCGGCGAGAAGATTGGCTAAGGACTCCCCAGATACAGCATCGCTGACTCACGTCGTAGCGCCAGAGGATGCAAAGCCGAAGCCATCCACCGGTGGTTCCGAAGGCTCTGGTACAAGCAGCGTCTCTGGTAGTTCGAGATCAGGCCATCCCGACGCAGGAAGCGACTCTGAATCTGACACTTCGGTCGGCGATAAGGTCACCATTACCACTGCCACTACCACCGCTGCTACTGCTACTGCTACTGCTACTGCTACTGCAGATACCGCTGCAAAAAGTCCCAGCACCGTTACAGTCAACGGACCTGCAGAAAGCCGCACTTCTAATTCTTGATTTAACTTTCCCGTCAGGCTTCGCCTGTAGTCTCTTGCCATCCTCCCATCTACTACTATTGAATACACGAACGCTATTATCGTCTGCTAAACGTTCTTCTTTGGTGTGTATGCATGTTATCTGCGCAGCTCGTTTTGAATCAATCACGTACACGATGTCGATTGCCTACACCGCTGGGATACGATCCCGGAGGGCGTGTTGTACAACTTTGCAATGAGAGAGAACAAGCATATCATATCCCACCGAAATGAACAGCAAAAAAAAAAAAGGTTTGGGAAATGATGCAAAAAAGAGCAAAAAAAGGAAAGGAAATTCTCCGAATCCGGGAATTGAACCCGGGTCTGCGCCGTATTAACGCGGAGAACTGTTTGAAAGCATCCGAAGATGACAAGGCGCCGTCATAGCCACTAAACTAATTCGGATCCATTTGATATTACGGTGTTCACAGTATGCATTTATAAACCAGCCAACTATAAAATAGAGTTTGGGTCCGCTCACACTAGCTGGTTTCTTCGAGTGGCGCTTGAAGGCGACCACAACAAATCCGATCGATCTTGCTTTCGGCGTTGTGAGTCCAGTAGCCAAATGCACCGAGTCGGCATTGGCCTGTGCTCTCAGGGATGATCTATGATACGGTATCTAGTTGTTTTTGGACGCAATTAATTAACTGATGTCGGGGTCTGCGCACGGGCTAAACGGTCAACCTTGTCGCAAACACCGACGAGATCGCAACCGAGCCAGCGGGGATTTTGGCTGGCTCTCCCAACAGTGACTTTTACTGTACAGTACTTTAGAAGGCCAAAAAAGAAGGAGATGACGACAAGCTCTCGTCCCTACAGCAGCTGTTTACTGAATGTAGTTGCTCTAGCCGAGTCAACAAAGATAGACACTCGGCTACAAGGTTGGTGAGCGGTTGGGCTTTGACACTTGGAGGGGGAGAGTGTGACTGCTCGGCTGTTACAGCCGAACACGCTTTGCTATTACGCTGTGTGATAGAGGGATGACGTTGCTGTAGGACGACGCTCATGAGGTTTGACCCTGATATCTGCTTGCAACCGCCACGACGAGGGATTCAAGACCAATGCGGCTCTGGGAACAGAAGGTACGAATTGACATGTCACGCGGTGCAAAACAACGTTTTAAAGTGCTGTACTGTACTGTACTGTACGTTTCGGCACGATGTGCATGGATGACTAGATTTGATAGAGACTGTAGAAAGAGAGGCAGGCAAAAGCGGAACACATGGAGACTCGATTTGGGGTCAAGGTCAAGTGAGTATGCCGCGCTTCCGAGTTCCGATTGCTTGTCTTTTGGCACCAGGTGGTCCAGAGCTTAGAAGCGAGACAAGAGTGATGGAGGAGGGTGCTGCGTCAGTATCAGACACGGACCAGGGCCAAGACCAGTTTTGTGGATGTCGTGTTTTCTAGCTAGCTTGGCCAAAGAGCAGTTTGCACCGCTTGGACCTTGAATATTCCATCGCTCTTCTCGAGACAGGACACATCAGCGAGGGCAAGGGCCGTGCGAGCCCAATCCTTCAACAAGTCCTCTAGAGGAGAAAGAGAGAAGAGAGAGAAGAGAGAGAGAGAGAGAGAGGGCCGTGCATACAATACAAGAGGACCCAAACCAACCATGCGTGACGAACCAACGTTGGACTTCTTACACCCCGGCCCGTTGACAAAATCAAACGGAATTTAGAACCCACCAAACAAGTGCAGGGTGATGAAATGTTTGCACCTCGGCAAAGGATTTGCTCGCGTGGTATCAGCAGAAAAATGTAAACTTTCCGAGACATTTTTTTGATTTGGGTCGCAACATCTGATTTGCAGACCCAACCACAACCACACCGCAATACCGCGACACCGCAACACAGCAACACAGCAACACAGCAACACTGCACCCAAATGCAAGTCTCGTGGTTGGTACGTTTGCGCGCTTCCGCCCCTCCAGGTCTCACACACCGAGGTTACTGGTGGTGCGTGTTGGGTTGCTTTCGAGATGTCGGCTAGTCGGAAAGCAAACCTGCTCCATGTTAGGAAACGTCACTTGATTAAGCGAGTGCCGTCTCTGGATCTGGGCTCGAGGCGTTGTTGCCAAGCTGTAACACCCACCCACATTGCTGTGTACTGTACAACTTTTGGCCTCTTGGAATCAAGACTCTTGGAGAGCGCGTGTTTGGGTCCAGCGGAGTTGCTTACTGACTCAGGAACCATCTCAACCCATAAGGTAGCGACTTTAATTTGTACTGTCTAGTACACTAACAAGGCGACTGGGGATTGGGGATTGGGGATTGGGGATTGGGGAGCAGCAGGCATTTGGTTGGCCGCGTTTGCCGGGGTGGCGGAAGTGCAATGTAGCATGGCTGAATGTGCCATGCTAACTGACACACTTGGTCGGACCGGACTGCGGCTCATTTCGATTGGTGGGATGTGGCCCCCCCCCGAGCGCGGGCTTTTCAAGTTCTCGCACGAACGTATGCAGGGTTGTGAACAAATTAGATCGAGCAACAATCACTATGGCTCTTTGACAGAGGCCAGAAGCAGGGCGAAATCGCCGAGGCATTGAAAACAAGACCGAGGTTACGGGTTGTACGAAGCAGTACGAATGCCAGGCGCGAGATCTATAGGTATGGCATGATGGACCGAACCGTCAACCAAGCTCTCATGCTGTGTGTGTGTGTGTGTGTAACCATGCCAGCATGACAAATCGTCGAAGCAGCCCAGCGTTCGTGCAATCTTGCAATAAGACCTCAAACGGTAGATCTCGGAAGATGCGAGATGCATGGCGCATGAATCTGGACACCAAGTTTGCGGCTCACCTTCCAAGCCAAAGTAAGAGGATACAGAGTACAGCTACTGTACGGTATGAGGGTTTTGATACTTTGCCGTAAGAGTGATAGTTTGCGTCGATTGCATGAATCTTGCAACAAGAAGCAACGAGAAATTGAGAAACTTCGCGCCACGTCCGCATTTTTCAGGCGACGAATCGGCGAGTCTGCATTGGAGCAACTGCCAAGAGCATGACATAGCATGATCTCAAGCCGGACGAACTGCTTTTGATCAGATTGCTGGATCGTATTTACACAGCGAGAAATGCGCCAAGCTAACGCTGAGGTCGAACGTACTGTAGCTTTTCTTGAGAGTAGAAGAGGTCGCCTTCTGACCGCTGGAAAGTGAGCTTCGTGTGTACAGTACGGCAAGTAGTTCGGGAAAGAAGCTTCTCGAGACTGTCAGACTAGCCAAGATCTGGACCCTTGCTCCTGATCGCCGTCTGTGCTGGCATTTCCTTCCAACACCCTGGTTGTCTCGTGGCTGAAGGCTGAGTGCGAAATCATGGACTTGGCTCGGTCGCACTGGAGACGACGGCGTCACGAGGAGAAGGAGATTTCGGGAACCCATCTCAAGAGGCCAACGGGATCCCCAAGTCAGCTCAGAAAGCCCAGTGTATAGGAACAATTCGGCCGTGATCTGCCCGGATGGGTGGCGTGGCGCTGGCTAGCTCTGTCATGTCATCGCCCGTCTTCTGCCATCCCGGGATGAGGAGTCATGAATTCGCATGAACGTTCGACTGCCAGATCTTGGCAGGTTGCTGAGTTGCTCCCGGATCTCAAAAAGCAACGATTACGCCCGCCTCCAACTAGAGCTGGAAAGAGGTCATCGCGACAAGGTGCAAGCACGGGGAAAGGAATCCATGACCGACCGTCTACAAAGAAAGGACGTTTGTCATCCCGAGACTTGGGCCCTAAGCCCAAATTGTACCACAAACATGGCTGTCAAATAGCCCAAGAGTCGAGGCTCAAGCGAACATCGACCCATCGCCGGGGGGCTCACAAGGGGGGAATCCAAAAACATACAGAGCTCGAGACGGTGATGACACTTTTGTCACACTGTGCCCGACCTGCTGAACAACTCATGCTGTCGATCACTGCGCTGAGGAAATACCAGCCGCCTCGTGGCATTTGGCGCCTGCATGGTCAGCCTGGAATGAATCTGCCACCGAGATTGCCTTTGTAGAATAGGAGCGAATCGGGGCCAGTCGTGTGACATGGTATTCTGGCAGAGTCGACGTGGCAATCAAGCCCGACTGACCAACGGTAAGCAGGATGTAAGGAGAGAGAGAGAGAGCGTGTGTTTTTCGCGCAAAACGAATTAGGGTTCCTCATGGATTCCCAAGTCCGCAAAGACCCTTTTGAAAGAGACAGGAGAGAGAAGGGGGAGAGAGAGATTTTTGCACTCTGGGCCTTGGCCTTACAAGGAGTTGAGTGGCACGGCGGGATTCGTGTCGCTGCCTGAAAATCATGCTGGGAAATAGCTCAGGAACCGAACTTTCTGAGAATCTTAGGGGGCGTAACTCAGCTTGACACGACTGTACAATAACAACGGTTTTCCCTGCCTTTTGACATGTTCGAAAAACCGTATGTTTGGCTTGTTGTCGTCGGACCTTTGTCTGCTTGTCCCCGCCGGCTGAGCGTCAATTTTTCAAGGTGCAGACGCAATGTCACAAATATGCCATTTTGTGTCCAATCAAACATCAAAGTGGGGCAATGGCCTTCATAGCGGCAACGAGTGCATTAATTGCAGCAAATAGACACGCACACTCCTCCCATTTGTTGTTCTCCAGAATGGCCGGGTGGGGGGGAGGACGTACCTCGCTCGCTCGTTCGTTGAGCGTATAGAGTATACCTAGCTCTCGGAGATAAGCTGGTCAAGCTGGCGCTGGTTGAAACCCGTGACAGCCTTCAGGGTCGCATTGATTTCGCTTACCACCTACAGTCGGTAGAAGTCACCCTTTCAAGGTACTGTACTATACCAACCTTGTCGGCATGAATCGGGTCGCTTGCTCGGTCATGTCCATTTTTTTCTTTTGCGCTAGAGTAGACACATGGTTTGCCTTCTCTCTCACCTTCTCTCACAGCACAGTAGAACTCAGAACAAGACACTCTACTGCAACTCTTTTATGGTTGTCACAGTTGCTCAGGCACAGATTGAAATGTAGAGCGAGCTTGTTTAGACTAGAGCTACAGTACAGTTGCAACATCTTATTGTGTGTCGAACACAAATCTAGCGCTTGGCACCTGCAGCACTAGCGTAGTGCCATCCAATCATTTTTTTTTTTGCACAAAGCAAAGACCCAAAGCTCACCCAGGTTGCCTGCATGCAGCCGTCCAAATTGTTGCCTCGAGGCATGGTTGGCCGGGCCGAACTGCCAGCTTACTTCCAAGCCTATGGTCAATCGAGATGAGACCAGGAACTTGTTTCAATCCCCAGCCTTGACCCGCGGTGATGAGACGAGAGGCGGACACTCTGAAATTGTATGTACAGTACTTTGACAAAGCATGATTTTGTCAAGACCTCGAAAAGGGTCTGAAGCAGGGTTTAATCTTTCTCAAAGGAGGTGTCGCATTCGCATCCTCGCCACTCTGCTG